GACATAAAGAGCCAGAGCAGGGGGCTGAGCACCAGACGTTCTGGCTCGAGGAGGCAACTGGAAGTCAGTGTCAGGGAAGCACAAATGAATCAGGAAAGGAGGGAATCATCAGCCATGCCAAATGCTGCCCAGAGGTCAAGTGAGATGGTGGCCTCTAGTCAGTCACCAGTGGCCTTGGCAGTGGCAGGCTCCACCCTGGGGGTGGCAGTGGTCAGGAGTGCAGTGGTCAGGAGAACAGAGGAACAGTCCAGAAAGTCCCCTGCTGGTAGAGGGCTGACTGGAAACGGAGGTTGGCCAACAGATGGACGGTACCAGCGTCGGCTGAGCATCTCCTGGGTGCCAGTCACCAAGCTGCCTCTTACCCGTTACCCAGATAGAATGTGAAGATCATGGAGAAAGTGAGGGTACAAAGCAAAAGGATCCATAGTCCCTGTTCTGGAAGAGGTAGAATCTTATGGGGAGGCTGGTGGGGAAATCTCTTCTGTTGCCATGTGGCATTGTTGCCCCCGTGGCAGAGTCACACTGATGGCACCTGAATCCCACTTCTGCCCCCAGTGCCCCGTCTGCTCTGTTGACCTCGTCTGTGGCACCGGGAGCTGTGCGGGTGAAGTGAGTTGCTAGATGGGACTGTGTGGCCCAGATGTATGCCACAACAACAAGGAGGGTACAGACTCGGGTGAGGCAGGAGAGGCAGGCCTGACTCCCACTGTCACCAGACATGTTTTTTCCTTGTTCAGTGCAAATGATTTAAAAAATAAGGTCAGAGCAGAAATTGGGCATCACGCCAGGGTTTAATGAAGTCTTATTTGGGAATGATCAGAGAATCTTATTTTTATCACTAATTAAAGGGGGCTGTTTACAATAGGAAATCTTGTTTGTAGAGCAAGGAAATGTACAACTCACTTTCCTTGTTGCTGAAGTTTTTGAATAAACTTCTTTTTAGGGACACCTGGGGGGCTCAGATTTTAAGCATCTGCCTTTGGCTCGGGTCATTATCCCAGGGTCCTAGGATTGAGCCTGCGTGTCAGGCTTCCTGCTAAGCAGGAAGCCTGCTTCTCCCTCTCCCATTCCCGTTTGTGTTCCCTCTCTCACTGTCTCTTTTCTCTCTGTCAAATAAATACATAAGATCTTTAAAAATAAATAAGTAAATAATAAACTTCTTTTTAATGAAAGGATGGAAATAAGTATATGAAAGTATAATTGAGTGTGGTTTAAAAAATCATCTCAAAGTCATCACTTACATCAAGTAGGGGCCACCACCAGCCCCCTAGAAGTTCATTATGCCCTGATTATAGATAGATCTTTTATCTGTTATCCAAATAAAATTTCCCAATTATGGAGGAAGTGCCTTTTAAAACAGCATGGAGCATTAGTACAAAATATATGGACGTTAATGAAATTGGTTAGCAGTGTTGGGTAAAAGAGCAGACATTTCCGTATATGGTGATGACAGCATTTAGGACTTAGGTATAGTTCATGTCACCAAAACGGAGAAAACAGCACCTTCCGATGATAACAATTCCAGATTCTTAGCTCAAGTGATTGTGTTTGTGTTATTCATTTATTCACATCTATGTATTTATTTAAGACATGTAAGAGGGGCACCTGGGTGGCTCAGTGGGTTAAAGCCTCTGCCTTCGGCTCAGGTCATGATCCCAGGGTCCTGGGATCGAGCCCCAAATCGGCCTCTCTGCTCCGCAGGGAGTCTGCTTCCCCCTCTCTCTCTGCCTGCCTCTCTGCCTACTTGTGATCTCTGTCAAATAAGTAAATAAAATCTTAAAAAAAAAAAAAAAGACATGTAAGATACTTCACTTGTTGAATGAGCAAATGTAGACAAAAACTTGATAGTTAAAAACTGCCCAGCCCCTATAATCTGGGGTAATGCTGATGTTTTAAGTCTGTTAACATTCCAGTGTTATAAACATCATGAGTAGTTAATGATTGTAGCTCAGGAGAACAGTTCCTCCCTCTGGCATCCCACTGCCTGTGAGTTGTTGGGGAGGGAGACTCATCCATCTGTCCCACCATCTGTCCGTCCCTCCATCCATCCATCCCTCCCTCCCTCCCTCCCTCCCTTCCTCTTCTCTTTCTCCTTTCCTTCCCTCCCTCCCTCCATCCTAGCTACCCTGGGGCTGGCTCCTATAAGTTCACTTGCTTTAGCCAAGTCATCTGAGGGATGGACCATGGCAGTATCTCAGCAGGCAGTGGTCACGCTAGCCTTTGCACACCTGAACGATTCACCTTGGAAGGTGTTGAAGTGAGGTACACAGAGACTCCACCTCTCAGGTCACATTGTTGGGGCATTCAGCAAGTAACAACAGCGGCACTTAACCAGAGGGGAGACACTGGTTTTCACTCTGGCAGGGAGGATGGCCACACCTTACTAGACAGTTACTTTGCCTTCTCTTTCCTGTCTTTCTATTCTTACTCTTGAGTCACATGCTTTCATTGCTCATCATTAAGTTTTCCCCAACTTTTATGGGTTATCCTACAGCTCTAAAGCAGTCTAATTTTTTTGTTCATTTGTTTTGAAGATTATTTATATCTTTTATTTGAGAGAGGGAACGTGACCAGGGTGAGTGGCAGAGGGAGAGGGAGAGCATCTTAAGCAGACTCCATGCCCAGCACGGAACCTAGCAGTCTATATATTTTAGAACACAATATCTGTAAATCATTTCCTTTTGCCAATTGTTTATCGAGGCAGGAAGACAAAAGTTATGGGGGAGATGGGAAAATGGAATGAATATGAGTAAAACTTCTAGTAAAGTAAAAAGATGCAACAGAAGTTGTCACTTTGGTTTATGTAAATAATGTGGTAGAACAATTAGAAGAATTTTAGTACTTAACAGGCACCACCTGCTTCGTACAGCTGTTACTTGGGGAGAAGCCTCAGTGTAAAAATGTTCACTCCCTCCAGCCTCCAACCAGAAGAGGTGGAATGGAATGCTCATTTGCACTTGGAGTTTCGTAAAATGAGGATTTTATTTTATTTTTTAAAAGATTTTATTTATTTGACACAGAGAGATCTCAAGTAGGCAGAGAGGCAGACAGAGAGAGAGGGGGAAGCAGGCTCCCCACTAAGCAAAGAGTCTGATGCAGGGCTTGATCCCAGGACCCTGAGATCATGACCTGAGTCAAAGGCGGACACTTAACCGACTGAGCCATCAAGGCACCCCAAAATGAGGAATTTATAACACATTTGGCTTGTCTTGGAAAGTTTCTCAGATCTTCCCTTCGTGTAGAAAACAACTATAGAAAACACTTACAGAGCTCGCTGGACAGCCTAGCTGCATTCCATTCAGGCTCTGTGTGCTCTCTGCAAGCTTGAAGATTCTAGCCTGCGTGGTCATCCTGTGGTATAGTGGCTCTGAGGGCAGGAGTAAAACAAAAATGCCTCTGCACTGCTCATCAAAACCCCCTTTCGCTACCTCCTCAGAAAAAAAAAAAAAAAAGGAAGTACATTGGCAGTCACCCTGACAGTCGTGACTTTTGGTCTTTGGATTTCACTTCACCTGCATGACCCATGTTTTGCAGCTTTTGGAAGCTGAGCTTAGATTTTATTTCTGAGTTCACATAATGATTTTTAAAATGTTCTGATATACGTCTTCAAAGACCCCAGATCGATACGCCAATGGTTTTGAAATGACAGAATGCTGCGATATTCCTCTGTAATTTAAACATGATTAGCTGATGAAGCTTGTGATCAATACACTGCGGGAAGATAAATTAATTGATATCATCCTTTCAGGATAAGAGGCCCATTGGAGGCGGGATGTAACTAATGAAGCTGCTGCTTCATCTCTGAGAGCCATTTTTTACACCCTGCATTTTCACTTCATCATATTTACGTGATCATTCATTTCTAGGAAAGCCATAAGCTGTGGACAAAGCAGTTCCCTATTAAAATTTTGTTCATTTGGAAAAGAAACCACGGACACTGTGTGTGCTCCTTTAGTGTTAACAGCCTATTGGTGGGGATGACGGTGTGTTCCTTGGCACAGGCATCTTTAAAAATAGCAGCTCTCACGACTGAGACAAGGATTGAACACCATTGAACTTCATTACAGCTTGTCCCCAAAGACACACATCTATTCAAACAAAAGCTGCAGTTCTTCTGCAGTGACACCTATTGGTGTGGGAAGAGTTTTCTTATTGTGGACTTCCTTTCCAATTAAAGGCAGCATGCTTTATCAGCGAGCCCATTTGCCAAGAGAAGTTATGGCTGGTTGAATTTAGATTTGTATTGATTAAGATAAACTTCCAATGTGTGTAGTAATGTATTTAAATAAAGTCTTTGATATAATTACATGTCCTTGGCTATAATTCTGTGCAGTAGCTTATAAAGTTAAGAGTGATTCTTTAGGCTATGCAAAAAATAGATTTTTGATTTTCAAGGGGGAGAGGTTAGTTAAATTACCTTGTCTCATTTAGGATTATTTTTGCTGCAAGTAACAAGAAAAAATCATAACATTAGAATAATTTGAACAGGACAGGTGTTTATTTTTTATTGTTTTGTTTGATGGTCAAGGCTGCTGAGGTGGTCTGGGCAGGGCTACTGAGGCTGGAGCCGGAGGGCCAGCTCCTTCTGTCTTGTGCCACACTACGTGTGCCTCTGTCCCTAATATGGCTGCAGAGGCTACAGCTTACAACTGTACATTTTCAGCAGCAAGAAAGGTAAAGGTGGAAGGAAGAAATGGGCCAAGGGCAGCCCTCTCAAGGAAAATTCCTGGAAGCTGCCACATGAGACCTCTCGACGGTCATCCCCCGGCCAGCGCTTGCCTATGTGGCCGCACTTAGCCAGGTTGCAGGAGAACAAGGAGGAGGAGGTTCTGGGAAATGCTATCTTTATTCTAGTGGTCCTGTGCCCAGCCCAGAGGTGGGAGCTCTGTTACTGCAGAGGAAGGAAGTAGTGGATCATGGGGACAGCTGGTGGTCTCTGCCACATTCCCTGTATTTGGAAACCAGCCTCACATGAATTCCTCTTGTCTCCCATCCACTAGTTGCCCAGAAGATTGTGGCCACGAGGAAGAAGCAGCAGCTGTCCATCGGGCCCTGCAAGTCGCTGCCCAACTCCCCCAGCCACTCGTCCGTCTGTTCGGCACAGGTGTCTGCTGTGCACATAAGCCAGGTACGTGGGGTGGAAAGGCACAGCAGAACCGGGGAGCGGGCCAGTCCCAAGGGTACTCTTAGCCAGTTCTGAGCTGGATGTCTTTTATTTTTCCTTTTCCACTTTATAAATAACAGCCTGTTGGTAATTGACTGCACATTTCCTTGAGAAACTGCTGTGGCCAAGTGGATTTTATGGGAATCATTCTTCAGTGTTTCCATCTTCGTGCTGCCTATGTTGTGAGGCATGCTGGTATGGGCAGAGGCTCCAGGTGTGCATTGCACTCTTTGCTTTTGATTTAAATTACCCTGCGTTGGTCCTGGTTCTGGTCTGCTCATGGGTTGAACAGTTGTGGGTAAACCTCAGTGGCTAATCCCCCATATGCTTAAATTTGGTAGCATACCTCAACTATAATTACCATCTCCCTTGGTTACATCATTCCAGAGTAACATTCTGGCACATTAATTACTTGGAAGCAAACAAAGTAATTTTCACTTTGAAGAACCAAATCCATAGTCTGCTAAGGGAACCATTCACTTGGTTTGCCTGTGTGTGTTTTTAACTAATACTTCTTGGGCAGGTGTTATATTTGGACTTTTTTAAAAGGCTACAGCAAGAGGGTTTGGTATGCCACTTCCATTTTCCTTGGGGAAGTCAGTAAGTGATGGATTTATGGTAGGGGCCTATGAAGGTAGACTCAAGGATGTGGATGTCTCCACTATAGGCATCTCATTTTCTGTGAATCTTTAAATGTCTTTGAAAGTATTCGGATTTTCAGAGTGTGCATTGGGTTCTGTCAAGATGTTTTTCTGCATCTGGTCTAGAGCCATGGAGTCTTAGGGCCCATTTAGTTCAGCCAACCCCTGCATCTTTCAGAGGAAATAGAACATAATTACATTTTAATCCCCCTTCCCATTTTCGAATCAAATAACAGAGACCTCTCTTTCTCAAGTCACTCTTCTTAGGAAAAAGTACTTTATGAGATGATTGGTATAGTCTACAATGAGGCCATGTTCTACTCGATGCTAATCAGCTAGCTGAGTCAAGAGAAGCTACCCCACCTGTCATGCAGGCCTCTCTTCAGTGTAACTTGCTAACTTGTGGCTTACGACCCTGCAAAGGTAGTGACATTAGGTTCCTGGAGTGTGTCATTAGTAAAACCTTCGTTTTCCATTGTTTCAGACAAGTAACGGAGGCGGGAGCTTAAGCGACTACTCCTCCTCCGTCCCGTCAACGCCAAGCACCAGCCAGAAGGAACTGCGAATCGACGTCCCTCCCACTGCCAACACACCAACACCTGTCCGGAAGCAGTCCAAGCGCCGCTCCAATCTCTTCACTGTGAGTGTCTGCCCCAGAAGCTTGAGTGAAGAACTTCAGTCACTATGCATCGATTAGTTGCTGGATGGTTTAGTGTTACTTGTAGAATCCAGACTCAGTTAATGAGACTAGCACGGATTTCTTTGGAGGTCTAACAAAATTACAAGAAGTAAGGGTTTGGGCACTGTGGAAAATGTGAATTTCTCTGTGTGCAAGGAGTTCAGATACATGTGTCAAAATGAAGAGTGAGGGGCTGTATGAAGGTATTTATTATCTTGTGGTTGTCCCGGTCTCTAGCTACAGACTTGTCACTCTGGGTATGAGATGACAAAACTGCACCAGAATCCCTAGACGTGGGCCTCTAACCTTCCCTGTGGGATGCATCAGCGACTTCGGTGTACGGAACCCTCCCTTCTCGGGCTGGGGCTTCTGAGGATTTATCATGGGGGTGAGGGGGTGGGGGTGGCTTCATCACCAGGAGGCTTCAGTGTTTCTCAGAGGCTCCTCGACAGGAGGCTCTCCATTGGACTTTTCTTCAGAGTCATTTGTGGAGCATTTTAAACCTGAGGATCATCTCCATGGGCTTAGGTTTATGAACTCAGAATCTGTAGGTGGGCCCCAGGCATGTGCAGTTTTTAAAAGCTCCCTTGGGCAATGGGGACACAGAGAAAATCCCTAAACTAGCAAGGAGGCAAAAGCACTCCCACCACATCCCTTCCTGTGCACCCAGCAGACATAACCAGTCAATCATGAGAGGCTCTGCAGCTGAGCCTAGAGCTGCAGGCAGAACTGCAGGCCTGTGACTGGAGTCGTTTGACCTCAAAAAAACCTTTTCCCTCCCGAGACCAGGTGTGTGCATCACAAGTATATCCTTTCAACCAGTGCTTTTGCTCCCTGGGGACACCTGGCAGTTTCTGGAGAAATTCTGAGTTGTTACAACTGGGAGCCAGCTGGAGTCATGGGTAACACCTGAGGTTGCTGCTAAGTATCGTACAAGCCCAGGTCAGCAGTACAGCACAGAGTTGTGTGGTGCCCTGTTTTAAACCGTTGGACTTCTCCTTTTGGGTGATTACCGCTGACTTAGATGCAGATGAGTCCAGGATTTCGTGTCTTAAACTAAGGGGGGCTCTGCAGGGGTGGCTGGGAGCCTAGCTGACCTGTTGCCTTATTCAGAGACAGCATTTCTGATGTTGCATGCAGCTGCCAAGCCTGGTAGACACCCAGGCCTTTCCTACCACGTTTGAGGCAGTCCTATTGGAGAGTTGTACTTGCCAAGATCTGCTGCCGACAGACCGTCCCCTTTCCTTTGCTGCCTACCCTCTGCCACGTCAGTTCTGACGGACGCTGTTGCTGTGAGTGCAGGGTAAGGAGCAGACAGACCAGACCCAGACACCAGCCTCCTGGGGTCCCTGCTTAGCCTCCCTGGGCCGGAAATGGCAGCATTCTCTGTGAGTCGTGCTGCTGGAAGAATCTCCCGTGGGGTGAGGGGTCTTAGTGGCATGGATTTCAATTTTGTGTCTCCACCCTTGCAGCTGTGAAAAGAATTATGACAGTGCTAATAAGCAAAAGCAGTTGTAGGACTGTGTGACCCACTGGGAGGGAGGTGTTCAGCCTTCTACAAGATGCAGGGGAATGCGTGACTTGGTTATAAACTCCTCTGTGATATAAGAGGCTTTCTTGTGAAATGTTTCACACACCAAGAATTACCAGCAGTTCCCAGTGCGCCCAACACTGGCAGCACTTGGCAACACCCAGGCCGGGGGAGAAAGAACATACAGGCTCACCACACTTTCCAGGGGCTGCATGTACTGGTCATCAGCTTTGGTTTCCATTCTAAGGAAGAGGTGAGAAACCAGGAAGTCTCTTTAAAAATAGGGCTGTTTGGAAAGACAGCTGTAGCATATACCCATTCCTACTCTTTAAAGAGTGGCTCTGGAATTGGAATGTGTCAGAAAACATTATCCTGGACCCTGCCCACTAGGTAACCATGACAATCCAGGTTGCATACAAAGGAGAAACTTTAAGGCAGGAAGAATCAAAAATATTAAGAACTCTGTTAATAAATACTTCCTTCCCCACTACTGTCTGCGGAGACTGGTTTTCTTGTCTGTCAGGAATAATTCTTGCCAGAGTCAACCCACATTCAAGACAAAGTGTTTTTGGAGAAGAAGGAGGGGCGGGAGGAGAACAGAAGTGAGGCTTAAGGCCTTCCCCTCCTTCTCCAAGCCAAGCACAAGTGTACATGCAGCGTGCAGGTATCCAAGAAGAGGCGAGGGCCCCCAGCAGCCCAGACTGGGCTGGGCGGGTGCGGAGCCAATAAAAACTCATCCTTACGGTTACTGAAAATCTCCATTAATTATGTCGTAATTAATGTGTCTAATAGTGGAAAAGCCTCCCTGTGAACCTGTACATGATCACTCTTTACTCTCTTTCCCTTTCAATGTTGGAAAACAGCTGGAGAGTAAACCATTTTAGAAATTGAGTCCAGCCGTGCAGCAATTCTTAAAGGGAATAGAAATTTGGGGTTATGAAGAAAGCAAATACTGCAGTGGATTTACACCATGGCATTTAAGGAAAAAGGTTAAAATCCCAGGGCGTGACCCAGGTGTTGATGTTGAACAAAACGGTGGTGGTGGTGGTGATGGTGACTTGTGGGTATTTTTAAGTTCAAGATCTTAGAAATAGGAACTCCACTAGATGTCAGTGTCATCCAAGGAATGAGAAGAGGCAAATTAGTTTTGAAATTGTAGCAATTAAGAAACTAAATTCTCGTTATTACCAGTTTGCATCTACTCTTAAATATGTAAAATTCATAGACTCTTCATCCCTGGCAGTTGTTGGTAATTATTGGCTTTAATTAGGGAAATGTGTATTTATTCAAAAGCATCTAGTAGGAGGACACATGTGCCCTCGGCCGAACAATCTTAGTGAGTAAAATTCCACGCAGACTGCGGCTGTACCACCCAGATGAAGGAGCGCTATCCACCTTATTTATTAGACCGTCATAAAGAGGCCAGAGTTAATTAAGTAGTACACACATCATTTTTCAAATACCACGCTTATAAATTTTATAAAGTAGACCTGTAATGTACCACTCTGGGCTCACATTTTGCAGTCCCAGATGTTTATTTGCATATACACGCGTTTTTAGACAAAAATCATATGCACTCTTAACAAATTATAGTAAATTTCAGATTGCTCCCCTGGTAGCAAATTGTTATATTTGTAGTAGGAATTAATCAAAAGCTTAGTTATATCTTATTTTGCTCTTTTCTTTGAAAAAAATCATTGCTTTGAGAAAAATTTTAAAAGGCTATGTCCATTCCATTTTTGGTTTTGTAACCTAAACCAAAGTGGGTTCTTAGGACAATTAATTTAGTGTAGTTGTCCTAATGTACATGTGGTTAAAATGTTTTATTAGAAAATATTTTTATGCAGAGACAGGAATAAAAAAAACATAGGCACGTACTTACATGGGGCTCATCAAACGCACACATTTTGCAGCGCCTGCCACGACTTTAAGAAATAGCACATCTTGGGTAAAAGTTGAAGCCCTGCAGGTGTGCCTCCTAGATATACACCTGCCCAGCTCCCTGCTGGAGGATCAGCATCATCTTGAATTTGGTGTTTATCATCCATCTGCACATCTTAAATTCACTCTAGTACATGTCCATCACTGGCACTGCCTTGCTGCTTTTCATACTTTAAAATAACAGTGTCCTTACATGATCCTTCTAAAAGCTCCCCATCCTGCCCGCCGACACCAGTAAATGGTGCCCAGCATACCCAGGAAGCACACTGTGAAAAGATCCCTAGAAACCCACTGTAAAAACGGGGCAGTGAAGTTGATGGTGCGAACAGCAGCATGTGTATTTTGTCTTCTGTAGAGGGGAGCGTGGGTCCTGTCACAGTGTGTGCTAGTCAAAGGCTCACTGGGTTGAAGGGGGAAAGCAGGCTTCTGTGTGATAGCGCGGGCTCCTGGCAGCATTGCTTCCTGTCCCTGGACGCAGGTAGTTGATGGGGTGTCCCTCCGTGGCTTCTTGCGTCACATGAGGAAAGGTAAATATTTGTGCAAAGAAGGAGGTGATGACAAGACTATCTTTAGCCTTTCTTTCTTAACATTCGGTGCTGGCAAGGGTGACGGTCTCTCCAAGTGCTCACCGCTGACCCCTGTGCCGAGCATGGTCGACCCGTGTTAGCTTCCAGTTGTGCGTGTCTGGTCCTTGCACACTGTTACTTGTGATACACGCAGCTGGTGCCCAGAGCCTCTTTGTATGGGAGGATTTCACGGAGCAGTTTCAGCGTGAGCAGAAGCGTGTGCTGTGGCCATGCAGTCTCCGGGCCAGCAGAAGACTCGGGAGAGCTCCCTGCAGATGCTTGTGTGCCCAGGGGTCTGTCTCCGCACAGTTGTTGTGTGCCCGTTGCTTTAGCAGCCACGCAGCCTGGGGCGGGGGGGATGTAATCGTGGGGCGGGGCTGCAGCAGACCCTTCTGCCCAGCAGCTGGTCAGAGCCTTAGAGTCATCGGGAATCTCTGTGCCACTTTGGTGGTGAAGTCTTCCTAACTTCCTGGGTCATTCATAGCAGCGTGTATGATTGGACAGAGATGGGTTCTCTGGCAGCCTGCTCCCCTGGAATCTGGGCATCCGGCTTGGAGCACAGAGGGACTAGGGGGGCAGATGTGCTGCCTTGAGGAAGATGTTAATTTTTTTTATGTTTGTTTTGTTAATTATTCTGGTTAATAGAGAATAATGAAGGTGGATTTTCAAATTTGGAAATTTAGAATTCATCAAACCCCAGAGTCCCATTAATGAGCTCTGTTGATTTAAATATATATATATATATTTTTAAATATTATCATCAGGAGCTTTAAATCTTCTTTTACAAATGGAAACCTCAAGTGCCAACCTGCCTGTGCACTAAGATACAGCAAAAGGAGACTTGAGAGCCATTTCATAGCTCTAACTGAACGTTATTAATTAAAGAATTAATTAAAGAGAAAAGTGAGCCCCTAGCATGTAGCTGAAATTCATGACAAGGAATCAGTATTTCCTATTTCCTCCGAGCCCAAATGGACAAACTCTGTCTTACGTTTTTCTGCAACTTTCAGTTTGTTGCTTTTTCACTTCCCGTTACCTCATTCCAGGCTTTTCTACCACCTTAAAAAAAAAAGCACACAGTGCCTAGCACATAGTAGGTGTTCAGTAAATGTCGGCTTCCACAGTCATCAAAGGGGCCTGTTTCCTAATGAGCACACATGCTCTTCAAAGTGCCACATCTGAGTTTACATCCTAGGGAGTTTTCTCACACCCGGTGACACTGCCCCTTTTAATATTAGAAAAAAAACCTGGCTGCTCTCACACCCCTTTGAAACTGGATTTCATTAGCTCTTCGCTGCAGCACCGGACACCACAAAGTCTGTTCATTTCATATATCATCTCAGATTTGAAAAGCACATGAAAATATTTCTCCATTTTCAATATTGCGTGAGTAATGTTCCCATTGAAAAGTAATGGAGTGAAGTTGTCACTTGTCAGCACGGTTATTAAGGAGGACGAGTTTCAGATCTTTCTCTCATAATAAAATAAATCTGTCAGAAAATCATTGTGCTCATACTTCCTCATGCCATCCGGAGATGGAGACTGAGCTGTGGTGCTCCTTCCACTTCCCGAAGTCGCCTGTGCTCAGGGTTGTGGCTTCCCTGAGTGGCACGGGGCCACCTGCCCACTCCCAAGCAGGTCACACGGTGTCAACAATGCTGCCCAGGAGACGGTTCTGCAAACTTAGCAGACAGAGCTGCTCATTTTTCCCCAAGCACTGATGTGTTGTCAAAAAAGAGGTCTTCAACTTTGTTTCCCCTTTGTTATTTTTTGTGGTGTGGTGTGGTAACAGTAGTTAGACTTTGCTGCTTTCTAACCGTCCAGAAGCAGTTAAAAAAAAAAAAGTTCACGGCACCTTGATATGAATGAAGAGTGCACTATTAAATTGCTCCGCTCCGTCGTTCGTAGAATTTCGAAATCCTCCTTCAGACATTAACTCAACATACACATTCATGTGGTAGGTTCCCCCAACAAGCCGCAAGGAGGCCTTTTCTCTTTGGCCGGATTAGCTGCAGCCCCAGAAAGTGCTTTCCTGTTGGGCGTTACTTTCCTATACGGTCCGTTGATTTCTACTGATTGAATTTTGAGCTCTAAAAGAATGAGTCCAAAAGAATTTAAAGGGAATTTTGCGGAGGAAAAGTAGGGGGCAAAGTTTGGAGAATTCTCTGTAAAATGATGGGTTGGTGGGAGCGAAGTATTCAACAGCCTGCTTCTTGGGCTTATGTGTGCTTGCGCCTGCCTTGTCCATGGCTTCTGGGTGCGGGAGCGAAGAAACGTCCGGGGAAGGGCAGGCCTGCAGATCCGCGAGCCACAGCCCTTACCCAGATGCTAACTTTATTTTTGCTTTGCAGTCTCGGAAAGGGAGTGACCCAGACAAAGAGAAAAAAGGCCTGGAGAGCCGCGCGGACAGCATCGGGAGCGGTCGAGCCATCCCAATTAAACAGGTACGCCGCTTCCCCCTTTTTTCCCTTCCTGGAGCTGGAGACACACCTCGGCTCTCCTTGCTATGATGCCGGCTCATGCGCCAAGGTTTGTTTGATGTGCTCTGTTGATGAATGTAGAAGTCACTCACTTGACATCAATTAGAAGAGGTTCCTGTGTGTATTAAAATAGGATCATTAGAATAAGAAGAGGGAAAAACGTGACAACAGATCTAATGAAGTGCAGTCTGCCCGCTGCATATGGACTGTGTTTCGAGGCTGAGCCGGCTTCAAAGGCTGCCTTTGTAGCTCGGCTTTGATTGGGCCGCGGGCTGCCAGTCGACAGGGGTAAATCAGATCGCCGTACAAGAGCCCCTTGTGATCACAGGAATAGCCCGATGTGGCCCTAATTTGCTCTCGCAGACGGACATCTGAACACTGTTTCAGGCTGGTTTGTAACAACGAGGCAATTAGTTGTGATAATCATAGCCGGTGTGTCAGCTGCGCGCTCTTGTTTGTAATTTGCTAATGAAGGAATTGTAACTTTGATTAGGTTCAGTTTCATTTAGACCTTATTATATAAAGGAACATTTACAGCTGTAATGTGGGGCCTTAATTAAACTTCCTCATTACACAACAGGACTTGAATTCAAGCATTTGTTTTGGCCTATGTCGCTAGCCTGGAATAGGTTTTCATTAGCCCAGAAACCGGGTACCAAATTACTTTATGTCTCAAGTAAAATGGAAGTTCACGTGACATATTTTGCTATTATAGTTCCAGAGAAAATAAAAATAAAGACTTCGACCCAGCACTGTGGCTCCTGGTAATAGCATCTTTTACTTTGTGAAAGAAGTCCAATTGATTTAGAGTGCATTCTGCTTGAGAGAGGGGGGAAAAAAAAATCTGCAGGCAGGATAATAGCTCTTCCTCATATGAACATGGCTGTAACCACTTTGTTCCTCTGGGGGATTGCTCTTTGCCAGCCTCTTCCACGCGCACCCCATTTCCTGTGCCCTTCCGCAACTCCGGTTGGCTCCGGCCACCCCTCCAGAGGGCAGAAGTCAGTGCACAAATACAACTTCACCATCTGAAACAAGCAGGAAGGCTGCATTAGCTGGGGACCCGGCAGCCTCAGCGTAGACGGGTGAAAACAGGTCGGATAGGGTCTGAGCAGGGACTCTGGAAACATTCAGTTCCCAGGCCACGAATGTGTGGTCAGGCTCCGGGCACCATTGAGAAAAATCCTCTTCCCTCACTTTTGCTGGCGGGCAGTGTCTTCACGCTCTAAAATGGTTTTGTTACTGTCGAGGTCCACACACGTCATTGCTCATTTTTTTCTTTATATGCTTTTATTTAGACACTGAGCTGTCTACAGGAGGTGATTTTAATGCATGATTTTTCTGTTGATTTTGTTCCAAGTAGGATTATGAAACTCCTTTTCATATCATTTAACTCCTTTTCTCTCATTTAAAAAATGGGTCCTGGGACTTTTCCTTTTGGTAATATTAAAACTTAATTCTCGACCATTTCCTTGATTCACGCTTCTTGTCTGTTGGGGGGTGCCGCCCTCCACACGGGCTGGGCAGGCCCCTGGCGTAATTGGAACCTTCACTCAATTTGTACCCTGCTCATCTGCAGAGGGGGCCCGCCGTACAGACGAGGTTTTCAATCTGTGTGCCGACTGGAGTTGACCACCAAGCGTAAAATGAGTATTATCCAGTCTTTGGAAGCCTTTCAGTTGTGAATGTTCTAAATAATGTCGTCGAAATCTAAATCATGGTCTGATTTCCCGATGAGTCATGGTTCAAGAGCGTGCTCAGATCCTTGTCCCTCATGGCTGCCAGGGCAGCTCCTTCCTAGAAGTACACACCTGTCAGATCAGAGTGCTCCTGTGGCAGAACCTTCCAGGCCTCAGATTCCTCATCTGTGAAATGGGCCCTGGATGATAATCAGAGCCTCTTGAAACACCAAGATGTGGAGATTCCAGAGAGAATTTTTTAAAATTCCAGCAAAACTGGATTTTCCAGTTAGTCATGCTCAGGGCACCTTTGTTGGAGCCTGTCTTTGGGTCACAGGGACTGATGTGGGTTTATAGCCGGTCCTACAGATTTATCTCACATGCCTGTGTGTGCTGTGTTTGTAAAGGATCTGAGATCATTAGAGCCTGTCTGAATTCCTAACCCTTCCCGCAGTGACTTCAGCCAGCGGAAATGAGGAGCAAGACTGCAGAGGAAGGAGCCAGGTGCTGGCATGTTCTGTCTAGATGCTCTCCAGACCTCTTGTCAAGGGAACGAACAGTTAGATGAGTTCTTAATATTGGTTAAGTGCTCATATAGTGTCCCCTTGAACCCCCCACACCGCCACAGGTGTAGCTGTACTATCCTTGCTTTAAATGAAACCCCGGGCAGTGTGAGCACTCCCGACCAAGCCACTTAGGGAAGTGATGGGGTCAGAATCCAGACGCCAGCCCCTCGCCCCAGTGCCTGTGCTTTCTCCACGGCTGGTTGGGGGAGAGCCTTTGGAAAGCTCAGAAAGCAAAGTTACGTGTTTTAAGTAAAACAGGTGAGCTCTGACCTCAGACAGATACCTTCCGCCTATGTAGAAGAAACTTCTAAGATGGTCCCCACATTTGTCTGGGGACCATGCCACCACTCTCACATGCTCCAGGCGTGGAAGGTCTCCCTTTGCCCTGCCATGGTTTCATTTGCTACCCCACCCTTCTCCTCAGTGCAGGCCCTTGGCCTTGCCACACAGCCATGTTCAAGACTTGGTCTGGGCATGGGAGCCCCATATCCCAGTTTCTAGGCCAGTCACCCCATGGCAAAGAAACCATCCTGGAATCTCGGTGACCCCCATGGGGCTGGTGATGGTGACGGGTTTAGGACCAGCCAGTATTTTTGATCATCGCAAACTCTTTCTTCCCACTCCATACAGGAATCTTGTAGCAGCTGGTTTAGGGTATGAGCAAGGTGGTCTTCACCACGCTCTGCCACTAGACTCGCATTTGTCCAGATTGTGTTGAAGTGGATTATTTTAACCATACTTTGCTCACATTCTGCAGCTCGTTCATTTTGAGAATAGAGGCCTCTTCCCCCAGTGTGGGAGCTAGCTGGAGCATGCTAGACAAGGATTTCATCTCTTCTCCTTTCCCCCCAGTTAAAGATTCCTCATCAAGAGTATGACTGATTTTCTGCAAAATAATTTCATTTTTCGGACCTGCACCCATTTCTTTTTTTGTCCTTTCTGGGACCTTAGAGGAGAATTGGGTCAGAGGGTTCTATTTTTCCTTCTTTTTTTTTTTTTTTAAACTAATAAGATAAGGTCTGTTCGAATAAAAATTAAAAAGCAAAGCAAAAAAATAAAAAGCCAGAGGCCCAGCTCAGCGGCGAGTGGGCTTGTCACGTATTAATTTTTCATTGCTGTGGAGAGTTGTACATACATAATCACTTGATTGCAGTGGGAGTTAGGGAGCTCCTATGGTGTCATTTGCATAAATCTTGTTAAGTCAATGGCAGTTAATGAAGTACAAATGAGCCCGGAGAAGGTGACATGCAAATCGTGGGTGGCAGATGGGAGGTCTGTTTGGGGGACAGCAGCTGTGTGCTCTCCTTTCTTTCTTTCCCTTTGGCATTTTTTAATCTCTATATTATAGTACGGATACACAGCCTCAGCCCTGGCCTCTCCCCCTCCCGGCAGACTCCCGGCCAGAGCCTGGCCTCCTCCCGCCCCTGCCGCGCTCACTCTGCAGAAACAGACCTGATGGCCTCACCTCGCCTCCCGCTTCCTAACAAGCTCTGGGGTGTTTTTGAATCTTTGAAATCTTGGTCGGCTTTTCTTATCATGCTTCCGTCATTGAGAATACATATTTCACTTGGTGAGGCAAACATGCGAGCTGCTCACTATGCTTGGAGAGAATATGTTGTCTCCTGCAGGACTTTGAAGAATGAGAGTAAGAAACACTGTCTTTGCTTCATCATACTTCCATGTGGGAGTCTGGTGTTCCCCCTTGAGACAGGCCAGCAGTGTCTACCCAGCATTACCCACCTTCACATGTGCGCCGTGGGGCTGGGGGGCGGTGGGCCTCCTGGGGCTGGTCAGGAACGAGAGGCTCTGGAGGTGGATGGGCACCCTTAAGGTCAGGCTGTGGCAGAGACCCCTGCCCGTCAGTGCAGACCCCTCAGACGGGCCCCCTCGGGCCTGTCTCAGTCATCTCTTGGGGTCCCTTGCCTGCTGGTTTGCGTTTTTAAGCTCCAAGTGTCATCAGGCCTCACCATGAACTTTTAGAGATTTATGGGCAAAACATCTACTTCCTGCTTTCAGAAGTTGTTTTTTTTTTTTTTTTTAATCTGCTTCATCAACTGGATCTTTTGAGAGAAACTGGTCTCTGTGGACTTTGAAGAGAGGCAGGCAGAGAGGCCTGTGTGGGCAGCCTGTGCCTGGCAGCCGCTGTCCTGCTCACACAGGAGTTGCCAGGCCATTGGTCCTCTCACTGTGAGTCCAGCTGAGCACTTCCCCGGTGTGTGGGCCTGCGAGGTAGCGCCATAGGCCGAGGTCAACACATGTTTGGGATGGGTGCCCCAGGGATACATCAAAGCCATGAAATATCCTCCAAACACCTGACTTTAAGTCTTAATTTTGACCTTGAAGCTGGTTATCATGGTCCCCCCAGGAGGAGAGCACTTTTCAACAGCCACCTGAAGCCACCAGGAAACCCTCCCCAAGCTCTTGTGGAAGGGCCGACCTGCATGGAACTTTCCGGTAGCACTCCACCACCGGGCCTGGGAACGGTTTGAAGCCGTGTGCGGTTTTGATTCTCAGCTGAGTAGAAAGAAGCAATTGTCAATTAAGTGAAAGGCACCTCTGGAGTTAATCCTTTTGGCCAGCCTGCTGCAGGCCACTGACCCGTGTTGTCTGGTACCTGGGATCGGCCTGAGTGGGTGGACTGTGTGGTGCTGGCAGAATAAAAGCCACCTAATGCCGCTCACTTTAACATCTCCAAGTTTGACACCAGTCACAATTGGTC